TTGTCTCGGGCCCTAGCCAGCCCCACTAGGCATGGAAACTGTGCTGAACAGCTCAAACAGGCAAGCCCCATGAAACAACCCTATTTTTGCCAAATAGGGTTTCACGACTGTGGATTGGTTTGCAGCCTTGTTGATGTTGTCTCATGCCCTAGCCAGCCCAAGTAGGTCAGGAAACTGCGCCTTGCAGCTCAATTAAACATAGACCACCCCCCCCTCAAGAGAACACTTTTTTTTAAAGGCTTTGGAGCCACCCACCCGCTCACTCGTGCCAGCCAAGCACAAGCAAACCCCGATCAGCCACGTCCCTCCCAAGGGGTGCGTGTGCTGGTTGGGGGTCAAGAAGACAGATAGACAGACAGAGAGACAGACAGCCCACCCAGCCAGCCTGCCAGGAGCCAGGCAGGCAGGCAGGCAGGCAGACGAGGTGACTGAAATTATTCAAATTAAACGAGGCGAGGTGAATAATTTCAAAACATTGAATTAAGACGAGGTACGAGGTGAACGAAATTAATGAAATTAGTTTAATTCACCCAGATGAATTGGGGCAGGTTCCCCTGGAGGTTTCGAGGCAGGTTGCCCAAAAAAAAAGCACATGTTGTGTTAGTTTTGGAACAGGTTGCCAAGGAGGTTTTGGGAGGTGGCTCCGCGTTTGCCAAGTAACCTCTTGGGGTCAAGATCAGTTGGTTGTGGTTTCAAACTTGTTTGACCTTAAACCTGGGATGCTTGATCCACTGGCAACGCTGTGGTGAAAACTGTTCCCTCCGTGACTCGACTGGATGTGGGTCCATCCCACAACAGTCTGGGTGGTAGGACCCTTTGAGGCCGGCCTGGCCGTGGTAGGACTCGCCTGGCTTTATGGACGGGTTGGTTATGTTTGGGTTGTCCTAATCAGAGCTTGAAGTTGTGACCCTCTTGCCGACAGAATGTGGGTGGTCTGGAGCATTTCTTGAAATTCGGGGCAGTGCTGTAGGAGAGAGCGTTTCCTGAGTTCCTCTTCATGATTTTCCTCGTAAAAAGTCTTCATGAGAAGTTCGATCTTCAAGGTTGTGGGACCCATTTGTTGGGGTCATCCTGAGCTCTCTCTGTTTGCCTTTGGGACATACACGCTTTTTCCACTCATCGCTCTCCCCAGGATACCCGCTTGCACGATGGTGGCCTCTTTATGCAAAAGCTCTCAGAGCTCACCATGGCCAAACCTGAGGCGGCGGTACAGGCGCCAACTGCCCGAGCCACTGAACGAAACCAGGAGCGATTCTACGCGGGATGCTTGCATGGAACGTAAAAAGCAACATACATGAAAGACACACACTCCGACATTGGGTTGAAGAAGGTGAGAGAAACGCAAGGTGAAAAGGTCGGCGAGAACAGTATGGTTTAACATTGTTTGCAATTGCACGCGAAAACGATCTGACACTCAGCGCGGCTGCAAATCGGCTGCAAGTCAGCGGTGGGAAAAGAGGGGTTTGGGGGAAAGTAGCATGCAAACCACCATGGAAGCAAAAAAATGAAATTGGACAGCGTGGGCAACAGTTGATGGCAGGTACGTCGAAAGAGCGTCCTCTTTCGATATCCTAGTCTGAACCTGGAGCTTCGTTGGCTCACGCCAGGAACAGACTCGTGAGCCTCCTGCTGGAAACATTTGAGTGGAAAACTCTTAGATACAGAGTGTGACACACACACACACATATATATATATTATAGTCTTAGTTAATTATGTTTCACATGTGGTGTGTGCGTAAATGTGGGGATATGTCAGCAATAGGATGAATACCATGCACTGCCTTTCAGGGATGGACAGCCCCTGTTGCTTATTGGACCCATTTGCGGCAAATGGATCTTGCGCAGATGTGACTTCATTGCATGTGCGCCACCATCACCCCTGCCCCAGCCTCGACGCAGTGGGAGCTTTGAAGGCCTTGGACACGCTGAAGCAGAAGCAGCTCTGAAGGGATGACCTGCGCAAGTGACAAGATGAGTGCGTTCATGAGTGCGGGAGTTGGGCATGGACAGGTTGACTTCAAAAAGACCCCAAGCTCACCCCACAGCATGCTCACCAGAGACCCTGAGGTTTTTGCTGGCTTGCATTGGTCGGAAGCTGTCGACTGTTGCTATGGCTGCCTATGGCTGTGATAGTAATGAAGCCAGGGCCACCCGGAAAACAGCATATCTCTCAGTCCGGATGTCACACCACCTACCAACAACACGGGGTGCTGCGCGGCCAATCATGTTTTGGATAGCCAATAGATCAACAGCCTGCTACAGTGATTGCAGTCATTCTGATTGGTCCAGGCTGGTTGACCCATAGATGTGTTGACTTTTAGATCCGACGGAAAGAGTGCTCCTGAAAAACCCGTCGCAAGAAGAATAACTCAAGCATCTCCCCTCCGCAATGCTTGAGGCTCCGGGACATCAATGGGGTGATCCAAGCCCTGCGGCTTGGCAGACATGGGGAGTTGGTCCAAAACGTGCCACACCACCAGGGTGTGAACAATTAGTATTGCCATGTATAGCCATCCGCATCCAGCCGCTCATAGATGAAGTGACATCCTTGCAGAGAGCATGATTGCAAACCTGACCCACGCAGTTCAAAGGCCTCTTCGTGAAAGGGCCTGTTGGGAGGTTTTGGTTCAAGTCTTTGGTTTTTAAGCACTCAGGAGCGACCACACATTTGTAATTAGATGTTGGTGCATTGGAAGGTCTTCCCAGCCTTGTGGAAAAGCATGGGTGCCCCTGGTGGCCAATCATTTTGCACAGTGTCCATCTATGTGTGGCTAAGAAGCATGGGTTGCCCAAAATCGTGCATTGGCAGATCTAGATCTGTCCTTCATCAGGCCATGGCTCAAGGATTCGTAGCATCCGGCCCAGCCTGAGCTCGCCATGTGGATGGGGCCTTATGGCCCTGGGCCCCGCCGGCCGGGGCCACTGAACCCGCGGGCGTCCCCGGTGCGGGCACCGGAGCCGATGGCGCTGGGGTCCATTGGAGTCCGGGAGGCCGAAGGGCAGACAGTGAAGTTAAGACAGCGTCTGGGAGTTACATAATGTATAGAGTTACATAATGTGGGAAGATCCTCTTCAAAGGGGGGGTTTATGGTCCTCAAGAGTCTACATTAGCGACTTGCGGTCTCTGTCTGAAGTATGAAAGTCATATATATTATACATGTTTAATGTTGCTTTAGTTAATGATCAGACATGGCTTTTGTGGGGGCTGTGGGAACCCACAGCTTCCACCCACGCGTTGTTAGATTCAGAGTTCGTCCTGCATCGCAAGTGAATTGCAGAAAGCTCGTGTGCGTGCTTTTGTTCATACTCGAGTTCCAGGCAGTTTTAGACATCGGCTCCTGGACACTTGCGAGCAGATTGAGTGCAATTCTTTGCTCCACTGGCCAAGTTCTGGCAGTTTCCTACCAAACTACCATTGTTTTACACGCATTCTTTGCAGCAGCCCTACTGTTTCCGGCAACAAAACTTAAACAGCTGGAATCTTAAGAATATGTTTCTAAAGGAACATTTGGTGTGCTGTTTTCTCAAACGCGCCCTCAGAGGTGGTTAGATAGTCCTTAAATATATACCGTACCTCCTCTCCATATTGCATGCTTCCGGCCTTATGTTTCTTCCAAACCAGGCGATGACCATGGTGGCCCCCCTGCCTGTGGGCCGTGTGGATCTGAAAAAGGCCGAAGAGGCACAGAAGGCCGCTCAGGCACCGAAGATCACAATTGCGCGGCGCGACGAGGGCAGTTGACACACAGGCATGTACCGCGCTGGTTGGAGGTTTTTTGGTGATGGCGCTTGAACATGCGCTGCAAATGCTTGGTGGTATGTCCTGTGTGTTTGTGCATTGTGCGTGAGTGCTTGTGCTGAGCTCCTGCATTTTTGTCCAGGCTTATTTTTCACCATCTTCACCGCCTTTTTCCTCCGACGGTCCGAACACCAACGGGGGACCATTCTCCAAAGGACCCGCCCAACGCCGGCAGGAGGCTGCTGCAGCCCGAGCACCGAAGCCTGCAGATCCCAAGAAGGAGCTGGCGGAGATTTGGATGCGCTTTCAGCATGCACTGTTTTGCTGCCATTGGGATTTGTCCATTTCATATTGGCAAAGAATCACGATCTTCGGTGCAGATCCCAGCTGCGGCTGTGGATGCCCCACCATTGTATCCACCATTTTCAGGCCCAGGAGGAAGGGTGTTCTTGATGGAGGTGAAACATCATCAGATTGAGCGATGCTGGGAGAATTGACGCCCACCTAACCGCCGACATACTTAGAACTTCGTTATGACCTGGCAAACATCATTGTCGTTTTCATTAACGTTGCCTTTTTCCGTTGATCTCATGCGCTCTTCAATAGTGATCTCATGCGAACGACGTTTCTTGACGAACTGCGACAGTTTCAGTCAGTTGACGGCAATTTTGGTCCATTGAATGCACCTTAAAGACTCATTTCCTTTTAATGCAGACATGGTAAGTTGTTCTTTTTGAAAGGCCTTTGAATGCAAAAGGCATTTTGTTAAATCAGCAAATTATAGTATATATATGTGTATATATATATATATATATACGCGTGCTTTACATACCATGACCAGTGAGGTGGATACAACAGTTGTCGTCGGTTTTCGGGAGTAACTCGACCTGTGCGGCTTTGCAGAGTTTCTAGCAATGTGAAAATGTTCGCGTCTGACACGACTTACGGCGTTCTTCCCCAACTTACGGCGTTTTGCACCGTACCGTACCCTACCCTCTCTGAAGGACACGCAAGGGTGGCAGAAGACTTGTCACAACCGATCTTTTCAACCACTGTGTGATCAAAATGTGAACGAATCCGGCAGTTATGTCAACCGAAACCTTAGACGGGGGCTGTAGCATCTTGAGAAGTGCTACCATGAGCCTTGGAAACGATGGACTCTACTTGCAAGTGAAAAAAGAAGTTAATTTTGCAAGCAGCCAAGCTGCACATAGGGTATGGACGGACCAAAGCAGCATCCTTGTTTGTAGATCAAACAAAGCAGCGATTCGTTTTCTTTGACGGCATTTTCACTTCTTTGACGACGTTTTCGCTTTCAAGGGGTTGAGCTGCAGCAAAAATAATTAGTTACGGCAGAAATACGTGTCTCAAAAGTCTACAATAAGAATTGATGCCTCAGGAGGGTCTGGGTATAAGCAACACAGCTTCCACGAAGGAAACAGGGCGCCATGTTCGATCGAGGGTCTCGACCCTGCTTATCCTGTTTTGAAGATGCCGTGAGAGACAGCCAAAGGTTCCCCATAGTGCTCCCTTGATGGGCAGATCTAAGGAGAAATTGCGGAAAGTCCAGGACGAAGAGACGCCGAGCACAAGTTGAGTGTGGGGGAAACGAACCACATAGAGTCCCCACAATATCAGCTGGTGTTGTTTGAGCTTAATGTAGGCTGACTCGTGATTATTTTTCAACCCGCAATGATATAGAATATAATGAAGAGGCTTGTTCAATCCATATCTGAGGGAGTTTCAATCAAGAGTCTACATTGGGTCACTCACCTCCTTGATCAGTTATAACGACAACTCGACTTGCTTTTCGTGACATTGGTGCAACGGTGGCCCCGTGGTCAGTTTTCAAACAGGGGAATCCAGCTGCTTGGGGACATCTTCACCCCACACCTGGGAATCGTCGCATGTGGAGCCCTTCAGAATGCCAAACAGGGGACCGTTGGCAAACAGGAGCAAGCAGAACAACATGTTTGCGATGTCGTAGGGTCGCAGAGGGGTTGCTATGGGGTCCCAATAGCTCTTCACAATCGAATACTGTAATAGGATTCACTAGCGCTTGTGATCCCTAGCATACCTCCAACACACTAGAGTTTTGCCTGCATGCTCTTCCTGATTAGAGCTGGTTGCCCCACAACTGCACCCAACAGAGATGCACACCTGGAGACTGGATATCTGTGCACATGTATAATAATGTATAATATATATACCTACGCATCGTAGGGGGAGATAGGTACATAGTGCTTACATGTTCTCAACAAAACCGGTGGCATGCAAGGACCAATGTGTGTCGTTTTTCAAAGTTTTGATGGGACCTGTTACCCCAAGGTCGGTGGTGCAAGTATGGACCCCATATGCACATCTTAAATGCCAATGCCATCGAAGACCTGACACCACCAGTCTGTGCCGTCGGGGCTTGGGACTGGGTCCCGGGTATCCAAGGAATGGACGAGTCCTGTGGTGGAGTTTTTGCGGCTTGGCCATGCTTGGCCGACGTGCTTCAGGGTTTCTACACGTGGTGTTCCGAGGTCAGGGGTGTTTTGTCATTAAGTGCCATGGAAAGTGCCATGGAATCCCCAAAACCACAAACTAGAGTTTCCAGTTCCATACCCATTTTCTGAGGGAATCGAATTCCGTTTCTGTCCGTGGAGAAGGAGGCTTTTGAGATCAGACCATGGATGCTCATGTCACGTCATGAATCACAGCATGATGTCCGACTGTTCCAGCTTAGCCAGATCCCAAAGAGTTGGACCAGAAAGATGATTGATATTGCCTACGCTGGGGGGAATCTTGGGGGCTCATCACCAACACCACTTCTTTGTTCAATGTCTATGTTTCCTTCCTTCCGGACCATCACCACTCACTCTCTCGCCGTTTCTGCACGAGAAGGGTTTTACACTTTAGACGATGTTAGGGGTGTTTTCCCAAGGACCTGGCAACCTTTGGGAGAAGTTCACACTCATCAACTTGCTGGGATCCAATTAATCAACTTGCTCTCAACACCCCTGACCATCCTCGTAATCCCTGGAGTTTGTCCCACCTGAGATGAGTGAACAGTTGACGCGTGAGGTGGTATGGTGATGTTTGGTGCAAGAACCTTAAACGGCCCTTGGATACAGGAATGTTTGAAGATGTTTGAAGGGTCATAGATGTCAGCGACATCGTCCTGTTTAGAGAGGTTCTTATTTGGTTGAGTGGGCGCTTACTGAAAAGCAGAACTGCTGCATAATATTGCTTCCCTAGCTAGAGTAGCTGACCGGCTTTCTTAAGTCCGGCCTGGCCTGGACACAGAATCAAGGCAAAGTGCACGCCAATGGGCAGCTTGATGCTTTGGCTTGAAAGCTCGCTTTGATGCTTCCAGAAGCCAAGGTTTGCATCTTCCCCAGTATCTTCTTCTTTTGAGGAGCTTTTCTTCGCAATGCTGTGGCAGAAGGTAAGGGAAGAACAGTAACAACAGTTCTATCTATCCCACGATGTTCCTGCCAGCATTTGCTTCGACCAAGCTGTGCTTATGGCAGCTTGAAGTGTGAGTGTCCTTTCGCCTATGCATGTCAAGAGTAACCCTTGTTAAGAGGCCGTAGATGACCTTGGTAGACTTCTGTGCATCCCTTGTGATACACCCTGGTGATACACCAAATTTCCAGGGTTCGAAGCTCGAAATTGGGTGCTTCCATCCACGGTGGAGCTCGAGTTGAGGATCCCAACCAGCATGATGCAGCGTTTTTGCTGACCTTTTTCGAGTGCTTTGAGAAGGGTGACATCCTGGAGGACGGTGAACATCGCCTGGGCAAAAACCTTGTGAGGTCAGTGAAGCAGGGGAGAGGTTGAACAGAGGCCAATTCAGGTCCAGGTTGCCTAGCAGCCAGGAGCCTGGCTGCCCAAACTCAGTGCCTCATGGCGGCAAGCACGCGTCGATGTTTTTCACTTGACTAGATATGTTCATTTTGATCAAGTCTTGGGGTTGGGTGGACTGCTGGTCCTGGACGAAATGGTCGAAATCTACGTGTTTTCCGGTTTCGTGGCGTCGTGGCATGGAGTGGTCTTGATCCTCGCTGATCCTCGCTGAAAAAGCACTCCGGGGTATCCGGTAGGACTGCGGGGAAGCAAAGTTCTTAGGAAGAGGCCCGAAAATGTCTGAAAGGGTCCATAGGGTCGTTGGCAGGTGGAACCATTCAGTTGGCGGTCTTGCACCTGAGATATCCTAGTCACCCCAAACCAGATGGAGGTGACATGAGCAATCACAGATGCACTGTGACTTTGAAGTTTGCTTTTCTATTTGATTCTATCAGAGACGGAGAACAGTTTGGGCATCCAACATATCTAACACAGGTTTCGAGCCAGCCCGCTTTCATGGCCCCGTATGTTCGACATCCTTGACCCATTTGGGCGTTACAGTAGCGGTGATGTTTCTTCCAGCTCTTCTTTGGACAGTGGGTTTTCGGTTAGGAAGTCGGATGAGGTGAGGGTCCGAATCCAAGGAGATTTGGTCAACAAGCAGTGCGTGACTTGGGCTGATTTTCAGGCATGGGCAGGGGAGGGACGAGTAATTAGGATTTGGTGAGAAGTGTCTCTTGAAACCAGCCAGGTAGATGATGAACCTGGACCAGCTGGTTTGCACCCATAAGATTGCAAAAGGATGCTAAAGGCGTATAGCCGTATAGCTGTATACCGTAGACGGCCTTGTCTCCTGATCGGAGACGGCCATGTTTGGGGGTCAGTCAAGCCCCATTGCGCACTTCGTCACCACTGAGGCAAAGGCGTGTCCAAAGGAAAAGGCCGGCCTCCCATGAACCTTGGCGCAAGGCAAGTCAAAGGACTGGCTGGTGAGGTGCCGAAGATGCCGAAGGAACATGAATTCTGTTCTGCCACAAGCAGAACACCTACCATTGAAACATATTGTAAATGTAGCAAGGTTTTTGTTATGGATCTTGCAGGGAAGCATGACTGGTCGAGTTCCAAGAACGCTGACCGAGTACATTACAGTATACCTGGATGATCGAAACGGCACACATAATTACCTTTTGTGAAGAAAAGAACCGTTACGGCATCTTTTCCCAAATGCGCGGCTGTTTCTTTTTTGTGACCAGGCGGAAACCGCAAGGTGTTTTTCTCCAATCCCCACCGTCCATCGAAACTGGTGCTTTGTTTGCCAACGGCGTCTTTAGGTGTTTCACCGTCCAAACGGCGTCTTAGGTGTCCCAACCTGGCCTTGTCCTCCTGCCCCAAGGAATGTGGCTGCTGCCAAAGGCGGCAAAGGGCCGATCACTGGCTGGGGCGGCATGTGGGGAATGGGCAAGGGAGGAGGCTTGGCGCAGCTGGGATGGTGGGCGAAGCAATGCTGGATGCCTCTCTCAGTGACGGTTGGGGCAAGCCCCACGGTAGGAACTTCAAAGCATGGCTTCACATCACATACATTCCCCAACTGCCGGACTTGAGAAAGTTGCTTTGAGAAAGGTCACACTTTTTGAGCCTCGCATGAACTGTGATATAGTTTGGGGCGGCAGCATGGGGCAGCATTTCACTAGCAAGAACAATATGGACCCTTCAATACATTGTTGCCTCATCGCAATCCCTGGGACTCTTCAAAAAGCTTGCATATTCGGGAAGGAGCATTGACAGAAGTTGAGACATTCGCTTCAAGTCACCCGCCCGCACATGTTGGAATGCCCAAACCAATGGACGGTGAACATCCTGTCCACCTTTGGTCAAACCACTACGCTGAGGAGTGCCAGTCATTCACCTACATAATACTGTACATCCTACTTCATAAACTGTGTATATATATAATCTGTGCAAATCTCAAGTGGAGCTTTGCGGCATGTTATCTACAAGAAAGAAGTTTGCAACTTTCATTGTCATGGGGTATGCTCGGTTCACAAGGCATGCATAAGGCATTCACGCCTCATCTCCGGGGTTTGGAACACAGAACCCAGCTGAAATACGCTATGTCATGCAGGGTGTGGTAGGTGGTGTGGTACTATATGATCGATCCATCCACATAGGTGCACCGCCTGAGGAAAGGGAAAAGCTGTTGGAAATCCCACGGGCTCTGGCTGTGGGGGTTGTGGTGGCTATGGTCCCGTCCCCCGCAGCGGCCCCTGTGGCTGTGCAACTCAGCCAGCAAGCTAGTAGCTTTATGTATCAAGCATCGAACCAAGTCAACTAGATACTCCCCTGCAGATACTCCATGGAAGATGGTCTTCCACGGATCAATTCTGAGGGTCCATGTCATATGGCGACGGATGGATGACAGTGCTTGGGCAAGCTTGATTCATCGATTCCTCCATGCTGTTTCTTTTCTGATGTGACTGCTTGATTTCTCATCACGTCACGAATCGGAAACGAGAGGCGTTTTTGAGCACAGATGAGCACAGATACCTTCCCTTACAACTGTTGTGGGGCCACCGAGTTGTTTTAATATATATATATATATATCGTTATGCATGTGCCTGATTGTTTGCGGACCTTTTCGATCCAAATGACTTCACAGAAGGACTGGCAGTGCTTAGATGCTTAGCAGGTCAGCAGTCGCAAGTGCTTTGGGCTTTGGGCGGTGGTTACCGGATGATTTATGCGAAGTGTGCAAAGTGTGATGGATTCATACAAAACTGTCGCAGAACTGCGGGAGCTGTTTTCAGTATATAGTAGAAGATCTCCACGTCCTCCCCTTGCCAGCAGTGGATTTCATTGAACTGCTTGCCATTCCAAGGGCCTATGGAATATGGGATGGTGGTGAGCCTAGCTGCTAGCTACCTTCTGCACATCCGCCAAAAAAGGGCCGCACGTGCTGACCACACCAAGAATCGTGGATGAACAGCTGTCAAAGTGATGTCAGGCACTCAAGTGGAGTCAGCAACTTCGATAGTTGTGTGTGTGTATCTCCAACTGGTGTGCTTTGCAGATGTTTGCAGCGGGGTGATTGCAGACTGGGTGCCTGCACATGACATGCGAGCACGAACCCAACATGAAGCAAAGCGAAGCAAAAAGCTTGGACGTGGGAATGGGAAGTTTGGACAACAAAGATTTATGGGTGACCCCAATTAGAGATCTACCGGCAACATCCGATTCTACAAGATGTCCATCCCTGTTGAAATATATTCTACACAATGGGATAGGTTGAGGCCCTTTACAAACTGTTCACCCTCAACGAACCCCCTTCATCTTAACGGGGGTAGATGTCCTCGAAAGCCCAAGGAGTGACGAGCCGAAGGCCCACAGCTGACGAACTCGGTCGTTTTGGGGGGAAGATGCGAAGGTTCGCCTTGCAGCCCTGTAGATCCCTGCAGTTTCTAATGTACTTGACTCGTGCAATGTGCGCAGATCAGTGATATGCATGTAGACAAATTCACTGGGAAAAGGACATGAAACAGTCAAGACAGTCAATGTTGGCATGCCCTTCCCTTTGCCAAATCAAAGGCCTTGCTGGCGAATTCCACTGCTGAGGCGTCGATTGGTGGAACTGGAGCAGATTGGCCGCGTACAACGCCAGGTGCTTGGAATGGTAACGCAGGCATGGGCATGCGAGCGCTCAGGTGACAGGAATGGTGGACAACAGTTGTGGCGAGGATCTCTTTCTCAAGAGCTTGTCACGGCCTTCCCTTCCCAACATGATCACCAAACTTGTGTTGAGTTTTCGGGCTTACAGTAGGCTCCATGCACTGAATTTGCGCTGCATAAATTTGCCTGGTTTGGTTGCAACCTGTTTGTTCTGGGTTCTTTTCTGCATCTTTTTTCATTATGGGCCTTTCCTTGTGAAAAACCCACAAGAACCCAACGTAAAAGTAGACATTGGACAAGGCGGGTGACCGCTGGCTTCCCACCGCGTTCCGGAGCTCCGTCCGATGGGCCTCGTTTCAGACCTTGTTGTCGAGGGGGGTTCACCATTAACATGCACTGCGACATGATATATGATGATATATGTTGGTTGGATAAATGGATCATTCATTTCTATATATATATATACAATTTGTATTTGTACAGCATGATGTGTATCAGCTTGCTATTTTGATTGTCACGTGTGCGTTTGGCCTCTCGAAGCAGCAGGTAGTTGTCACATGTTGGAATCCAACATATGCAGAAATTCGAACAGGGAGTTGCCAGAGCAAAACCCGTAAGGGCCAAAACCCGTAGACCACCGGGCGACCCAACCAAGTCCATGGGTGCCCATGAACGAAGAAAGACATCCAGTCGTCGACGTTTGTGTCAAACGACCTGTCAAACGGGTGAGAATGATCAAGTATTTAAGTGTAACTTTGTGATATGCAACTGTGACTTGGGAACTTGAGCCGTGCCGACCCGTTCGAAAGTGGCAACCCATAACAACCCCTTCCCACGCAAGGAAAGTGGTTGTCTCCGTGCCAAATGTGCGTCTCACGGTACATGTGCAGGTAAGGCAACAAATTAATTACACCAAGCTCCAGTGGTTCCACAGCCAGATTGAAATTGAAAAAGAACCATTAACTTTTTTGAACATCAAATCCATCCAGATCTGGAGTGGTCGTTTGAGGGGATATGGCAAATGGGTTGTTGGTCACTTGCAGGGCCTGGCAGCAGCTCTTTGTCTTGGAGAGTTTCCACATGTTTCCACTCACAGCCAATGCCAAAGGACCAATATGGGTGTTTTATGGTGTTGTTGTTTTTTGTTGTGTGTGTGATTTTGGTTAAGGGAGATCACCATCCAATGGGTTTGAGTCGGGCACGCCAGCCATAGATACAAGGAGCCAAAATGGTTTGTTTAAAGCAAAAACAAAAGGTAAGTAGGCAAACAAAAAATCACAAACATGTAGCTGTGCGTGTTTGTTGCTTGTTTTTCACATTTGTGTGCGTTGTTTTCTTTTCACATGTTTTTTGCTTTATTTTCACATTGTTTTTGCTGTTTGTTTTTGCATTTTTCCTAGTAGGAGCGTAGATTAGATATTGCTGACGGGTAAAAGTTATCATAAGTGCGGAAGTGGTACCGGGAGAAAAAGCAAACCAAATGCAAACACTAAGCAAATTGCGCTGCTTTTGCATGTTCACGTGCTTTTGTTTTGCTTTGTTTTCACTTTTTGTTTCACAAAAACAATTATTTGATGGTTGGTCCGAGTCCTGTATGGCTGCTATTGCTCAACACAATTGTTCCTTCTCCCAGGGGGGGCTTTGGAAGGTCTCCAGCCTTTGGCTGAGATCCCATGGGGGTCCCCAGCGCAGCTAGGCAGTGGTCACTGACATGCCTGACCTTTATGAAGGCCGCACCGGGAGGCACAGGATGAGTCGTCGTTTTTTCTTCTTCAAGCCTTGGCTTGAAGCAAATGGAGTTCTTTTGAAGCTGTAGACGCGCCAAATGGATTGGACTTTTAGACAATTCATTCTAGTAATGTTCATTTCGTTCCCTCATGGCTTGCAGGTTTCTGTGCAGGGCACACATCCAATGTAAAGGACCCTTTACACCTGGTGACTGGCCACTGGACCACCCGTCTCACTATCTCACCAGGACTTGCATGCGGCAGCTCCTGGATTTCTACAAATTTGCCACAGATCATACCGCCTCGCGCCCTGACTTCTGGAGCAACTGGAGCTGCAGACTAGGATGGGATGGTCAACAGGGGGGCCTGGAGCCCTTGTGCAACTTGCGCCATATGTTCTTTCTTCCGTGTGGGGCCGCGGGATTTTTAAGTCCTTGGGTTCACCTGCAGTTGATTTTCCGCATGGGAAACAGTAGAAGGTCAGTCGTGGATGTTTTCCTGCCATTGGGTGGCCGATTTTGGAAGCGAGAGCAACGGTGAGATGTGAGGATGCAGCGTTCATGTTCCAAGCGCTATTGGCCAAGAGTTGTTCAATGCATTTGATTTCAATCATCCATGGCCCCTGGCCCCTGGCTACCTGTAATGCCTGCTTCCAGCTGCCCTGCGCTTGGCAGTTTTGAGGCTTCTATGCACATTTGCAGGACGGAAGTGGGACCGAAGGGCTGTGGACAGGCCTTGGTGACGAATCCTTGGACAGGCCGAGGAGGTTGGAATTCACCGAACTGGCCGAGCCTCCAGGTCGATCACTGAAATGGCAAAGTATACTTATGCAAGTTTTTGAAGAAATTCCACAATTCCGTGGTGGCCATCGAAGCCACACATGGTCCGGCGGTGCGCAGTACGGACGCCGACCGCTCCGGTCGATCACGTCGGGTCGACGCAGGACGCCTCCGGCGACGACGCGGGGGCGCTGGAGAGTCGCCTGCGACAATGCCGCGTGCTCCAGGTGGAGCCACGGGTGGAGCCGGTGGAGCCGGTAGGTCGACTCCGGTCGACCGGCGCGTGGGACGCTTCGGGGTTCTGATTTCGTGGGACGTTTGTTCTTCAAACGAGAGAAATGCACCATCTCGCGCAGGCACGGCTTTGGGTGAGATCCTCAGGAGCTTGGGGTTTGTGCTTCCAAGCTTTCCGGTGCGGTTTATAATTCATGGAGAATGCACATGCTGTTTATTGCGACTGCGAGTTGATGACCCGAACTGACTTCCAGTGCTTGTCTAAGGAAGAGAATGACCCAGAGACTTTCACGGAGAAGCTGCAGGACAGCGACACGTGAAGATGCTGTGGTTCCCGCTGCGAGACTTTGTATTTGTTCACTGTGGAGATGTATATAAGGGCTTGATTCTTGCTGCAGCAGATGCATGTTCGCGCACGTTTCCGACGTTTGTAGGGTCAAAGGCAGTTTTGAGTTCTGAATTCTGACATGTGTTTAAGGCTTCATTTTCTGGAGGGTGTCAATGGCGGTCTTAATGCACTAATTCGATGTACTATCCACTCTCAAGATGTGCTGACCATCCTCTGGAATCCTGACTAGTTGACTAGGTTGCAAGAAGGATCAATAAGGCACAAACAAGAATGCCATAATGTGCATTCCGCGAGTCATGCCCATTTCTTGGGGATGTGGAGACACATCGACCTCATCGACCTGGCCAGGATTTGATGGAATGTTTCGACCTCATCGACAACACCTTGGACGATCCTGCCACCAAAGAGATCTCCAAGGCCCAGAAACACAGCTTCTTCGTCGAGTCGAATCCGGAAGGTTTTGGTGTTTTACTTCATGTTGCTTCGAGTATAGGCCCCGTAGACCGAAGCTCGGATCGTTTCGGGTGTCTGAAGCTCGGTCGGGCCGTCCATCGAAGTAGGACTCCCCCCATCAACCCATTCCGTCGCGGGCAGTCGGTGCTGGAAGCCGAACGAGTCACATGGACCACATGCGACTGTGACGGTCATAAAGTGGGGCCATGAGCGTGGAAAACCACAGCTCCATGACGACGATTTCACTAATAGGTTTGCTTTGGTCGGGTTTGCTGTGAATCAGGATGGGCCAGGCATCTCTGAATGAACATCAAGTGATGTGCAAGTAAGTCCAACCCTGAACCCTCCTGGAGCAAATGACCACTTACTTTGAGAAATTGCATGAAATTGATGTCTCAGTCCTTATGTTGAGTCTCAGTCCATGACCGATCCACCAAGTACACTTTGGGACTGGCCGATCCATCAGCACTCGTTCTGACCAACATAAGGCTTGGGTTGAAGGTTTGATGCTGCCCCTTACATTCCTTACCCCAAGGTAGCGCTGACCTACAACATATCATCTCAGTTATATAAGGGTTGCATAGCTTGCCTCCACTCCACCTTTGGTTTCCAAAAGAAAATCATCACCAGCGGATTGAGCTGCCCTTGTGAGTCCACCGCAGTCTCATGTGGCGCCCTTTGGATATTTGCTGCTGGACGCGGCCAAGAAGCTTCAAGAGAAGCTGGCTGCCACCGTGCAGGTGTTGATCGAGGGATGAGGGATCGGGGCAGTGAGAAAAGAACGCAATTGAAACTGATAGATTGTAGTCTTTGCCAAGGTTCATCCCAGAGAGTGAGTGAATATAATCAGGCAAGAGCACCCCTACTTCAGCAGGCGGCTTAGCGGACTTGTGCCATCCATAGCTCCGGAGCTCACACCCCCGAACCAAACCAGAGCAGGAAATTCCTGGATCAACACAGGCTCTTTGGCTTCCATGTTTTTCATGAGCGTCAAAGCATTCGCATGTAGGTTCACTATGCGCGAAGCTCTAACAACTTATGCGGCTTCAGTCCAGCATTCCTTTCAGAACAAAAAGCACATGGTACACTGATGACCAGCTCCACGGCACCGCGATGCCATCGAAGCATTGGTTTGTGGCGACCCACCGGAGCCCCTCCGGGCTTCGCTTCAGGAGCCTCCATGGAAGCCAGCCGTGGCCCAGTTGCAGACCTTGGCGCAAAAGGCGAACGAACGCCGCTGACGACCGGGTCGGCACCTGAGAACCGGTGGTTGGTGGGATGCGTTGGGTGGTGCCGTGTGTGTGTGTGTGTGTGTGTGTGTAAACCTTGGAATCATAGGGATCCTTTTGGATTTTCTGATTTGCTTTTCCAGTTTGTATCATAGCAGGGGAGCGGTGGGCATTCAATGAAGTCACCGCTCAACGAAGACACTTCAAGTTTGCTGTGATATGCGATCTGGACGCAGATTGCACGTGCCTGCATTTTCCTTTTCCGAATGGCAAGAGGCTAAGCCAAGAACCTCGAAGATTTGAAGTTTTGATGTTTTCTTTAGACTTTATGGCCTCGCTGAACTTGATGGACCTCCACTTCCTTTTCAGGTTTCATTACCTGTACCCTTAGGAATTGGAACCCTAGGCCGGCGTGTGGCACCGCTTTCAGTTCAGTACACCCTATCCTAAGTGTGTTTGGCCTCGTGCCAACCCGGCATGAGCCCGCAGAGTGCCTCCCGTGGACCCGTTGAACGGGGGTACGTCGAACGTATCCACTGCCCGGATACAGAGCAGCTCGCAGCGAGCGTAGGTGGCCTAGGCCGTACGTACGATGATTTTTGCCTCATCTTTGGAATTCCACGTTGGCTCATGCCTATACGTGACCGCAGCGGTCAGAGGTGGCAGCCCTCGGGCCAGCCGTACGTGGTCGCAGCGACCGAAGTTTGTTCAAGGTTCATTGGAACCTGTCGTGAACTTAGGCGCACACACAGCACGTACATGTTTAACGAGGCTTGCCTAGGTTCTTTAATGAGGTTTGGGTTCATCGGTTTCCGTCCCCTCCATTTGTTTCCCTTTTCATCCTTTCCCCTTCGCACACCTCTTTTCCTCTTTCTTTTCATGTCTTCCCTTGCTTCATGTCCTTTCATCTCACTCCTTTCGTTCTTTTGCGCGTACAACGGTCCGGGCCTTAGTGTGTACGCGCACATCTACGACCAACTCAGGCTTCAGGTCGCCCAGGTTTCGACAATGGGGGTTCATCGGTTGTCCCTGTGCATTTGGTTTCTCTTTCATCGCAACCACACACACTTTTGTCCCGTCGTCTCCCTTTTCATGTCTTCATCCTTTTGTCCTTTCTGCGCGCACATTGGCACATTGGTCCTAGCCTTAATTTTGCCTCCCCTCGGGGAGGCGTGTGTGTGTAACCCTTGGAATCATAGGGATCCTTTTGGATTTTCTGATTTGCTTTTCCAGTTTGTATCATAGCAGGGGAGCGGTGGGCATTCTTGAAGTCACCGCTCAACGAAGACACTTCAAGTTTGCTGTGATATGCAATCTGGACGCAGATTGCACGTGCCTGCATTTTCCTTTTCCGAATGGCAAGAGGCTAAGCCAAGAACCTCGAAGATTTGAAGTTTTGATGTTTTCTTTAAACTTTATGGCCTCGCTGAACTTGATGGACCTCCACTTCCTTTTCAGGTTTCATTACCTGTACCCTTAGGAATTGGAACCCTAGGCCGGCGTGTAGCACCGCTTTCAGTTCAGTACACCCTATCCTAAGTGTGTGCGTGTGTGTGGTGCTTGTGGCGCATGTATTCTTGACGGTCTGAAACGGCGTACTCACCCCTAGTCCTTCTGGTTTAGCTGACAGACAGCCAAGTGAGCCAAGTGTTGGACAAAGGGAGAAGCGAAGATGGGGCTTCCCAAGCAATCACTGCAACCTCGGAAGCATAAAAGATAAGAGGTGGTTGTAGTCGTCGTCATCCGTTATTCTGGCAGCGACTCTGGCAGAACAAGTTCCCTGCACCACTATTCCTTGCTAGCCGTGCGCCAGTGTTAACCTGAAAAACACCTTGCCACCGTGAACACAACACATGCAACATATGACACAGTGGTTTTGTGCAATTTGCATAAGGCACAAGTGTCGCAGCATCAAGTACCTGTTGTGGGAGGTTGATGCGTTCATGCTTCCACCAAGGAGTTGGATGCGCACAGCACTTCGTCCACGCGATGTTACCTCGGTTTTGCCCTTGTACAGAAGACCGACCTGGTCGCTGTTTGAATGCCTGTCTCAAAGGCCAGCTTGCTATTGCAATGCATGCCGTTACGCCAATTTGATATGCGTTCTGTTTTGTTCTATGGACCTCGGCCAAGCGAGACGTAAGAGGCATCGCAGTGCAAAGTCGCGATCGATCTAAAAAAAAAACGTGCAACATCCTGCAACCTGGTGCTGCGACCTGTGCAGGGTAGGACCTAGTTGATCCTGGTTGTAGGAAGCTGGTGTTCATCCTGTTTGCGTTTCGAAGGAACCGAGTTCTCTTGGCTCAGCTCCCAGGGGCCATTTGCTACTTCAAAGTACTTCTCCAAGCGGAGTGAGAGATGTGAGATGGTGATGACACGGCCGTCAATGCAGCGACTGGGGTGCGGGAACACCATGGAACAATGTGGGGTGCGGGAACACCATGCATAGGGGTTGCCTGGGTGCATCTAGGAGCTTTGGTCTAAACATGTCTAAACCATGCTTCACCTTTCGAAAGTGCGGATCGCTATAGCCGCTGTGTCCTTCCGAACGTGACACTCGACAAAACATATACTACTATATACTTTTGCTCACATCGAGCATTTTGCACTCTGATTTTGCCATTTGCAGGCAGGTTTGGTTTTGGATATACTGACGAGCCAGTTTGCTGTCAAAGTGAAGAATTGAGGTCATGAGGTGCTTTGTTTCGGAAAATGAACTTCTGAGGAACCGCGCCCTCACACGCTACTTGTTCCAATAAGCATACGCAAATCAGACAAGAAGGGCCTAGTTCTTGGTGAGAATTAGATGTCCAACACCACAGCAGATATACAAGCAAGAATTGGTTGGATCATGTTGGATCCACAAATATCCACAATTAGCCCACACAGCACACAGTTCCATGTTAATGCACGCAATTTGCTTATGCCAGCTTAGAACTTGCTGGCATCATGAAAGCACATAGTGAGTGCCGCAGCTGGGGATGAATGAGGCCCAGCCAGGGAGGGCAGTCGGATTTCAAAAGAAAAACACTATTCTATAAGTATATCAATATTATATATACTATGTCTCAATTCATCAGTTCATTGTGCTCAGACAGGGACTCATTGGGACGGCATCAAATCAAAGGAAGTGTTCCGGGCTAAGGCGGTAGTTGGTACTGGTTACTGGTGCGCCTTCCGTCGCACGGAAGGCGCCGACTTCGCCCACTTCACCGACTTCACCGACATCGCCTTCGAACTCGGTGACGTTTTCCACACGCTTCTCATCGCAGTGGGATGAGCCTTGGCGAGGTCAGCGGATTTGGCGGCAACACTGAGGACAGGTACTGGTATGCCTCAGATGAGCAGGTGCAGGTGGTTTGGACATGTTTGGAAAGGCACGCGGATTCTTCGCGACAGCGAATGCCGCGATACAACACTCCCCACCCATCAGCAAGGACATCGGCAGACATGTTGTCCGATGTTCCTCTCTCCCTCACGCCGACTGAGGGTGGCAAGGGCCTCTTGAACCTGGCGGGAGATGCCATCAAAGTGTGTGTCCGGGTGAGACCTTTAAGCACCCTGGAACCTATCCACAGCCGCGCGCGGGCGCGCGTGGTGGAACGGTGGGGCGTGGTGATCGTTTGGGATTGGACGGGGCTGGGGGGTGAGGGATGTTGGGAATGTGGATGGCTTTGCCAGGTATATATGTTGGCTTGTTGCAGACTGGTGTTCCACTGCCAGCATGAATCCTATCCTCGTTGCATCCGAAAGAGCAAGCCTTTGGCAGACCGTTTCGTGCAGTAGACGTTCTTCCGATCACACTCCTGAAACAGCACTATGCTGCTGCTACTGTTTGAAGGTCTTCCAGTGTGGCCGTCCATCCTGCCTCCAGCACTGAGGCAGCAAGGAGTTTCTTGGCTTCACATACCACTGGGATCCACGGGGCGACATTCCAAGAAATGCAGAGAGAGAAAGGGAGGGTGGGGGAGAAATGGCTGGTGGGGGCATACACAATTCGGAATTCATTTACAGTCATAGTCAGTTGATCTATTTGGAAGTCACTTAAGGCACTGGGAGTGGTGGTTTCCCTTGTTGCCTTGGAGCTTTTCTTTGACCTCATCGCCCATCTGACATTGCAGATTCCAACGGCACTTGCAGTCGCTGCCGGGCAGATCTCTTCCAGTTGAGGTCGGAGAACCAACAGAGAATGTAGCTTGACTGCATGGCATGGGACCCCCCGTATGAGGCCTTCTAACATAGTCCCCCCACCGGGTTGTATGTGTAGATTGTATAGTTCAAATGAGTCTTCGGGCTTTTGGCCTTTGAGCCCAGAGTTCTGAGAGGGGGAGAAGGTCTTTGGAAAGGTTGCACGACATGGAAGGAGAAGCTTGGGATTGCAAGCCCTCGAGCGACAACAGGCATGGACAAAGATTGCCTTTGACCCGCAGAGTGGGGATGTCAATCGAAGTGGACTGCTGGATGTTTGCAATTGTTTGCACACGTATCAGATTACTTTAAACTAATTACTGCATGAAAGAATGCATCAGAATACAGATTGGTCGCCCTTTCAGTAGGGGGAGAGGAGATCCTATTGAAGAATTGTTGACAATCACCGACTAGCTACCATAGCCACGCATTGCTCGGATCCGATCCTGCTGAGATGTGTGCGCATTCCACCCGAGCCCGAATCACCGCACACGACCAGAGCTCCTTGGCATGCTTTTGTGCCTTTTGTTCGGCCAGCTGGAGCCAATGGTCCGTTGAAGGCTTGATCTTGATCTATGATGATCTATATGCCCCAGAAAGCAACATATCTTCAAAAAGCAAGAATTTGATAAGGTTTGGAAGACGCAGGTATGTTGAATCAATGATTCCCAAGGAAGTTTTTTTTCTCCTGGAAGCATGATTCCTCCGTTCCGACCACGTTCAATCCATCGTGCTTCGCAGTTTTCTCGGTTTGTCAGGTGATGATGTTGAATCCCAATGACTTTAGCCACTCCAGGAACTTTTCCTTTGACAGGGCATTTTGGCCGCTTGAGCTTTCCAAGTTTCGTCCGCCTCGGCTGCGACAGGTGGACGAAGTTGTGGACAGGGAAACTTCCGTTCCAAAACGAAGCGACTGGTAGTCGTTTAATGACTATGCGTTCAGAGGCTAGCAGTGCAAGTGCATCCAAGTCTCCGTTGAAACATGGGATGCATCATCTCAGAAAAACTGGGGATTCCAGATCCTTTGATTCCAAGTGAACATGGTGCGGTGCGCGGAGTTTGGCACAATTGGATGCATTTGGCAGTTCAAAAGGTTGCTGCATCAGAGCACGTTCTTGCGCTTCTTTTTGTGGGGCAGTGTGGGGGAGCTATCCGGCTGACAGATGCAAGTGATGGTGTGACATTTGTGTGTAGTTGTTGCTCAAGGTGTTTGTGTTGTTTTTGCTTTTGGTAAACCTATTTGTTGGGAACATCGTTTTGCGTGTGTTTTTTGTCCGGTTCCGCAAGCAAATCCAAGAAGAGTGTTTGACCGGCTTTGCATCAGTGCACCGCCCGGTGAGGTCCGTGAAGCCGACGGACAACCATTTTGCCTCACAGGCAGGGACACGTCGCAGAGGTGTTGGACTGGGGAGTGCAACTGGGTCCAGGCTGTGAATTAAAGCCTGAAGCCCTAATACCAATGTAGGTTGACCTCCAGGTAGTCTAGTCTGTTCAGTTGGGGCGGGTCAACCAGGGTCAGCCTATATTGTGAGCCAATCCCGCACATATTGTCCAAACTGCTCTGGCAACATGCCGACGGACTTGGAAGATGACGAATTCCTTTGCGAGGTGGTTGCCATTGAGGTAGGACATGGTGGGACATATCACACTCTCAGAGTGTCCCTGCACAAGTGTTGTTTGGGCCTAGTGGGCCTTCCCATGCATGTCAAATTGTATGCATCAACACATGCACGGCAATGTGACTTCAACGGATGGCAAGGTGGCCTGCCATCTCCAGCCGTGGCCTGTTGCACTTTCGCATGTTCGCGGCCTGTTTGCATGGCCCCCGTTCACAAGATCATCATGTCATAACGCAATGTTGAAATGACTAATGACTTGAACGACCAGAATGAGGCCCACTCTGTGGGCATCGAAACAACCTACGCCCTGCGACGCCCTGCTATGAGCGGTCGGTCGGTCGGTCGTTGACAGGAGAAGATCATGCAGGATCTTGGAGCAGAGCTGCGTGAACATGTGTGCCCTAGCTTCATTTGGCAGACTCTTTGCTTGGGCTGTGGCATGCTGTGGTTCTTGGGTGGTTGCTTGGGTGTATAGGAACGACTTAGGGGATTACCCAGTGAGGGATTCCATGGTGGTTTCCAAGCAGCTTGTTCATGGATACCTACCTGACACACCTGAGTTCACATGTCCATTTCTTGACATACTTGGATCATCTTGGATTATTAGGTAGATCTAGACCACACACTTTGTAGGCAACTTCCTCCAAGCAGACACATACAAGTTACAAGTTCAATCATTGGCTTGAAAGCCTCGATGATCGGGAAATAGTGGAAGTAAGTGCGGTACTATGCAAGATTCAATCGATATCATATATATATATATTAATATTTTGTATTATAAGGGCCTTTGGAGACTTATTGTTGCACACATGTTTTTGTTGGCTTCGCTTTGTTCTTTTGAGAGTATCCTGACATTTTGGTGTCTTCTTTGCTCCCTCCCCTGGGTAGCAGGATGGACGGCTACAACAGCTGCCTCATTGCCTATGGTCAGACCGGCTGAAGCCTCAGCGTTGACGAAAGAAAGCCAATGCCATCCACTGCCGAAAGTCGCCAACTCGCAAACGTCTTCGATAAGCAATTCGGCACTGGGGGACTGCATGAATCCTGCTGGGAATCGGTTGGGAATCCTTGAAAACGGCTCGCCTGTCGTTTGTGCCGAAATCAGGCAGTGGGAAGACGTACACCATCTTGGGACACGAGACGCCCGAACAAGCTGGTTTGCTTCCACGGATCTCCGAGGAGAGTCCGCGACGGGACGGGTGGGTTCAGACCAGTCCGCATGGCCGTTGAACTCTTAGAGCTTTGAATCCGTTTGGCACGGTAAGTTTATGTTCTCTGTGAGTCCCAGTTTGGAAGAGGATGTTCCTTTGACATGCTCAGTCAGTTTTTACTTCTATGTGAGTCGTGAGTCAATTCGATTTCTATGTCAACCCCCCTGGCCTTCTTGGGCCCACAAGAAAAACACGACTGCCATGAGGACATCTTCAAGAACATCCCGAACCTGAGGAACACCACCAATGAGTTCACGGTCACAATCTCTTATTTGGAGAGGGGGCCTTAGCATCAGGGGCACAGTGGATGTGATCCTGCTGCTACCAGCTATCGGAGCGTGGACATCAGGATGTACCATGCCATTGAGTCTTCATTTGTTGTCCAGAAACCGAGTAGCAGTCCGTCACTAACATGATCTAACATGTATAATATATATATATAACTAACACTTGACTCTTTAAGGTACTACAGTGTCTACAGCTTGATGGAATGACCTAGAAATGAAGCTCGTTGATCTCTTCCACTGTTTGGAGACCGACACGACACTCGTGTTGTCTTTTGGAGGTCGCACCGAGCTCTTTTGGCGGTCGCACCGGGGTCCCGAGGATTTACAACGAACAGATTCGAGACTTGCTGGTCTCTCCCGAGGAGCCGCGCTACAAACTGGAGGAGAACGGCCGGTCTCGGGGGGACGAACGGTCTCGGTGCGGTTGCTGGGACGCGGCGGAGTAGAGTGGTCAAAGAACTGAGTGGGTTTGGAAGGAAGGGTGAAGGGTCTTGGTTGGAAGATTGTTTGACTCATTGAAGGGACGAACTCTGAATGAACAAATTAGATTGGATTGTAACTCACCAAATGTTTGCAACATCATTGTGCGATACATTATGTGTGGCGAAGGCTGGTGAAGCCTTTGGCGTTTTGGCTCACCAGGAGAAATCACAAAAATGCGAAGTCAATTCGCTGAAGGCTAACTTACGATTGTGTGAAAGGTGGTGGAACCAATTCGAGAAACTTATTTTCGAGGCTGCTGGTGTTGCGGGAAACCTCGCGAAGCCCACAAATTCTGACCCTGTGAAAGGAGATACACGCTTAAGATGTTCATTTGTTTTAGTCCTAGCCTGGCTATGCCTGGCTGTGTTGGTTCTACTATTAATTATCCACTTGTCAGACATGAGCACCGTGATTGGCACAAGAAACTGCACTTTCAATCCAAGTAATGGAGTGTGACATATCCAGGTCTTCCGTTTTCGGCGACGAGATATGCAAAGCCAGTTGTGCCATACTGACTGTGCCTGATGCCGCATCAAGTGTCAAGTGTCGTGGAGTGGGTCGTGGATTCGTGCAGGTCCGTGCTCATCCCAAATTTGGCAACTTTGTGTGGCTTGGCTGCGGTGTTTTGCGAAGTCAGCAGTCGGCACACATTGAACATTGAGATTCAGCATGATTCAGTAGATGTGGGAACCTTCTTAGAAATTGAAACCTTCTTAGATCAGATATGATCAGATGTTTTTGGAACCTTCGAATGTTAGATTCGTTTTTGTTAGAAATTGACATAGATGAACATCGTTGAAACCACCTTTCTAAATCATTTCGATGAGCCTTTTGTTGGTCGTATTTCGCCGTTTACGACGTGGCTCGCCGCGCAGGCATGGAGTGAAGGAGGTGCCGGTCATGGCTCCTCGGCTGCAAGCAGATTCCTGGCATGTCGGATGTGGCCATAATAGCCAGGAACTTGGATAAGATCATGATACCAATTTCTAGAGCATCTAGAGCTGTTTTAAGGCCGCACATGCGAATGTTTCTTCGCTGCGCCGGACTTGGCTGACCCGCACTAAGCTGGACTTGAGGATTGGCCCAACATGAAGGCATGGCTGGATTTTGGAGTCAAAGCGAGGGCGGTGGCCAGCACCTCCATGAATGTCTCTTGGTAACCGAGTCCCAACGACTTCACGGGGCGATGCCGGTTAGCGTCACTGGAAGGCGGTGGAGCCGCTGTGAAGCCTTAGCTGCCCTAAGTGTGTTGTTTGGGGGGGCAGATTGGGCGCAGGTTAATTTGGGGAACCCTGAGGTCGGTTCTTTCTTTCGTTGGACAATTCATGATCTTTGTGTTTGGTTGGAGTTTTGGTGTTGGGCACGTGGATCGTGGCTGGTGGCCCTGACACTTGCCATGCCCGAGCATCTGCAGCAGACTTGGTGTTGCCCACTGACTGTCGCACGAGTCAATGGGACAGATGTCAATGAGTTCAGCGATCGATGTCCGATTCGCAAGACGTCGATGGCGCATGCGACGGGATGGCGTATGCAATAGCTGCAATGAGTTTAGTGTCGATGTGGCAGTGTGGATGCCGATTTCCCTGTGGACACGGGCATTGTGGAATAAGGGATTTTCTCTAATGTCGACACGCGATGAATATCCCCTTTCAGGTTTGCTATGTGGGGGGTCGGAGGAGCTCTGGCAAATTGTATTTTATATTTATATCTTATAATGTCTTATACTTTTGGGGGGGCAAGCATGAGATTCCAAAGACTGCATCTCTTCATGAGGAGAGATCCCAAAGACTACAGCTCTCCCAAAGACTCCTTCTGTTCTTGAGGAGAGATGCCAAAGACTACATCTCTTCATTATATAGGAGATTTCCCAGGACTAAATCTCTCCATGAGAAAAAGATCCCCCAGACGGAATCTCTTCATGAGGAGAGATCCCCAAGACACAAATTGTTCATGAGGAGAGATTCCAAACCTTTTCACGAGGAGAGATCGATCGAAGAAAAGGGCAATTGAATTGGACATGATTCATAAACCTATCGTGATAGAGTCCTAGCCAATCGATTGGAATTGAAAAAAGGTCGGAGAAAGGGATAAAGACAGTTGCAAGTGGAACAATCTAATCGGGGGGGTAGTGCGCCCAGTTTGATCATGTGGTCCACATGTATCTTTAAAAAGAAAAACATAAATCGGGCTGTCCTCAGAGATCTCCAGATTTCAAGATGATGGAGACATTTATTGTTCAACATATTACTAAACAATATGTTGATTTACAGTAAGTAAGATGGCTAACATGACACGAACACGGCTGGTCAAACCGTATGGGGGGTCCTTAATCGGATGTTGACATTACATTGCAGTCCTCTTGACCTGTCAATGTGCATGTTTGAGCTCAATTGCCAATAGTTTTAATGTGGTTTTGAGGCAGATGGAAGATGATGGAAGTCTTACTAAATGCCACCTTGCACATACCTTAGTGATCCTCAATTAACATCCACAGAAAGAAACAAACAAGGGGGAGCCTGGCTGGTGGGTCTCCAATCCTCCCTCTAGGATTCCCCAATGGTGTAGGACTCCCTACAGTTTGGATCCCAGGTCACTGTCTTCGGATTGCAGAGCTGCCTTCCTCCCATATCCAAGTCCCTGTTCTCAAGCTTCTCTCACTCAACGAAGCGACGACTGATGACGACCTCGTCACATCACGTCACCTTCCGTTTGACCTTTTCCGTACCGTTTGAGGCCACCTCAAGCCGATCTCATTGTATCTTTAGCATGGAGATCGTCCACAAGATTTGGAACAGCGGTGCCAAGACCCAGCAAAGATCCAAGGCCCGGTGTCGATGTGGAGACCCGAAGATCCGATTCATGTTCCGACAGCGGGCCGCATGGTGATTGAACATGGTCCGTGAAGGTTGGGTGTTTCTATGTAATGTAAACTCTTGATTTATAGCCCCCAATTTGAATTTCAATTCCTCTTGACATTTGAATTGGACATCCTCTTCATTTATGGAGTCTATATTAGGTTTATCAAACAGGAGTCTACATTTGTTACAATTGGTCTACGTAAGCGTATGGTGCCGGGTGTGCTTGAACTAGTGAATGCACCACCGCACTCTCTAGCTCAGACCCCCGCACTCTCAGGCGGCCTCACTGCCATTTTACATAATGTCATGTAATGTCATACATATTGCATATTTACATATTCTTCCATATTCTTTCCGAGTCTTGCGACATCCATGCTTACATCCATGGCGCTTTCCCCGGGACCTCGCCACCATCTCAGTTGAACGTGGTGGATTTGGCTGGCTCTGAGCGACAGAAGAAGTCGCAGACCTCGGGGAGCCGTTTGAAGGAGGGAGAGACTTGGCCGAGGAGGAAGGTCAGTGACTGGAGAGGTCATGGGCTCATGCAGGGTCAGAGGGCAGATCGTTGAGCAATCTGAGTCGTTCATCATGTTGATTGGGCTTTATTTGGGGACCTTAATATCATCTCAAGGGGCTGAAACATGGGCAAGTGAAGCGTGGGGGTCTTGAGAAAAAAAACAGGATGACAATTGAGCCTTATTTTGGGGATGGTCCCCGCCGTATATATATATATATATATATAATTCTTAGATGGTATGAGACTTAAGCTGGTACAACTTCTCTAAGTGCCCAAGGGCCCTTCTTCACTGGGCATTTGACTTTCCAGTTTGCATTGAACTTCTCTAGCAAGATCTAGCAAGTCAATGGTGTCATTGGCCTTTTTGTGTGGCATTTTCAAGCCAATGGACAATCACCACTGGAACTGGCTGGTTGACCATTGAGGCCATGATCAATCAGAGCTTGTCCAACTTAGCTTTAGTCATCAGCTTCTCGGAGCAGACGGGATGAGCAAAATGGACACCGGGTCAAGGGCCGATGGCTCAAAAACGGTCTTAAGAGCACAGGTCAAATGCAAATCGACTAAAGCCAGTGGGCCTTGAAGTCTTGAAAAACTTGAGCCTTTTCCTAAGTGTCATGAGACATACCCGAATGAATAATGATCTACAGTAGGTTCTTGATTGAGGCTAAGGGCCCGTGGCGTCTTACAACTTGGCAGTAGGGGGCCGGTGCTCCTTACTCCTGAGTGCGAAACCACTGAGATGTACGTCAAAAAGAAGTAATATCCGGCACATGAGATAGGACTTGGGGACACGGCCACAAACACACCATAGCAAAAAAGAAACAAAATGAGAGCTTGCTCGAGCATGCTTTGCTTTCGGCTAGTCTTTCAGCAATTTTCAATTATTTCCCTGTCCTTGGGCTGATGAGAAGGAGTTGTTTCATTCCCATTTGCCCGCGTAGTCGTTTCCTGATGAGTAAGGAATTATGCTTCCGTTGACTCCTTTGTCACTTGCACCTAGTACATATGATATACTGTATATTGTATATTAATTTATGCAACCCCCCAAAAAGCAGCAGTAACAGGTCAAACGTTTCTGGTCGACATCGATGTTGATATCTCCGTCACATTAGACCCGAGGTCGGCTCGCCGATTTGGCCAAGAACATCCACAAGGAGAGATGTAGCATGATGAAAAATGAGGAATGGACAGGTACAGGTCCGACTGAAGAAAAGGAAGTGAAGGGAATGGAAGTGAAGAGTGAAGGGACATAGTCCTCAAGAACCAATTCTGGGTGTATTTTCGCGGTCCAGATCGCCGCCCGCCCCCCCCCCCCGAAGGAAGCCTTGACCTCTATTTCTGGGGTCTCGTCGTTTGCTTCGCCGTCCCGTTGTGATGGCAGGAAAACAAGAAAGCCATGGACTTCATCCCCTTCAGGCACGATGCGTGGCACGATGCGTGGCACGATGCGTGACGTGAGAGAGGGCAGCTGTCCGTGAATGGGCGGCAGCATTTGGCGACGGTCCTTCTTCGGAAGGTGAGTTATAGTGGCTGTGCCACCTTTTGGTGGTTTCATGTTGGCATTGGTATTTTCAGTAGTCTATGCATGAACCAGTTTACTCACCATTTGTCCACACCTGAAAGGGAGGTTCAGACTGAAGCGATCTGCTGTCTGAAAGGTCGGTTGTCACCTCACTGAGTGCAGCTGAAGCGATCTGCGTGACAACCTCCTGCTTGCACCATATTTTGCTTCAGCTAAGGTTCAACACATGAAGGCCGCGCCAGCAGAAAAAACTCAATAACAGCACCAGCATTGACTGATCTGAGCTCGGATCGCCCACATTCCAAAACTAGGTGGTTCACAGGTTCATGCGCATCCAAACAGTGCGCACCTCAGTTCCAATCATGGCCTTCCATCACCTCCCGCAGTGGCCGGCGCTCCAACTCACCGCCGCGGCGCGGACGGCCATGTCTTGGTTCTTCAAAGTGTCTCGAGGATGGGCGCCGTACTCCGCAGAGCAATCCGAGCAGATCGAGGCAGCGTGGAGCCTTTGCCAGACCGGAGCCCGTCCAATCTCGGAGCAGGTGCCACTGGGCGAATGGCGTGTAGACCTGGAGAAGATGCCGCTAGCAGCGAACAGCGATGCCCGGGGAGGGGAAGAACGGCGATGACCATCAGTATCATCCCCTAGTGTTCGGAGCATCTCGGAACATAGATGATCATAGATGGCCTTAAGCTGAGCTATGGCAGCCTTGCCAGTGAACGGCAGACGTTTCAGCTCGTTATGGGTAAAGCGCGTTTGTTTGTGTTTAGGCGTTCTTGCCCCCTGTAGGCGTTCTTGGCTCCGCTAGGCGTTCTTATCCTTTTGGTGGCAATTGCAATGCTCAAATAGATAAGGCTCTACCCACCAGTGGCTCCAGGAACAATAGAATACAGGACACGGTGGACAAAGGAATTGTATCCTTTTTGGGGGAGCAAGTGACATGAGTTTCAAGAACTTTACTTCACACCGGCCACTAGCGTCAGGTTGCCTTCTCAAAAAGCTTGTTCATTCAGATTATGGATTTGCCTCCTGCATGTAATTAAGAATGCATGTGATCGTGCCTCGGCGTTTTTGACCCTCGAGGCTGCAGCTTAGGCGTTCTTCGTGAAAACGGGCCGAATTTTTTGCCTAAGTGAAGTTGGGCGGACATTTTTGCCTAATACGCAATTTGGTCTTGCTCTTTCGCTGCGATTACACGGTGTAGACAAGGCCCGTGTTTGCTCGCAAGTGTTTGCTTCCATGACCATCATGACTCTCCTACCTCGTTAGACAAAGCGCTTCCTGGCGATCCCAGGATCCAATATCGCTCAGAGGATCCATCCCGCTCCCGGCCCATCAAACGCGAGGGCGGTCGTGCCGCGGCACCGGCGCGCGACGCCGCGGCACCGGCGGCTTCCGCGGCCAAGCGAGCAAAGCTACTGGAGGTGGTGGAAGCGAGTGATGAGGAGCAATCCTGTGCGAATTCCAGGGGAGTCTGCACAATGCCTGTTCAAACATGTCGAGGATTGTTGATGATTTGAGATGTTTCATGATTTTTCATATTATATTTGTGAGCCTTTCAGAAAGTGGAACTTGCAACCGTTGCGTTGCTGGTTTTGCTTGGTCCTCCACTGCTCTCAGGATCTTCTGTCAGGGCTGTCCCCTGAGGATCTCCGACGAGTGGCTTGGGGAAAGATTGGGAGACCCGCCGTAACACCTGTCGCGGCAAGAAGGTGTAAAGGAATGTCAAGGAAAGAATTGAAAAGGACATGCCGCTGCACACACACACATACTGTATATATAAGATAAATAACCATTGCCAATGGATGAAAAGAGCTCAAGTTCTCATGGTTTCGCCAAGTTTGACCGGTTGCGGGGTTTGGCTTCGTGCTCTTGGAGCTATTGAACAGCTCCTGTTAGATTGCAGACGGAGGACCACCACCTATGGCTATTGGCCTCTAAAATAACTGTATAGTCTCAATCCTGGTGACTCGTGTTTGCTTTGTGTGGCCCGCTGATGAAACAGCGAATGATATCAGAGTTCGCTGCAGGTAGCCAAAGTGCTTATCCCCAAAGCAAGGCCATCGCTGCCCCCAATTCAAAGGGTTTTGAAGCGTGTGCTCTTCTGCTTAGTTGCAGGCATTGTTGATGCAAACACAACAATCAATCTTACCTCCATAGCAGACTCTTGGCTCAGATTTTCCCTTGTGATCCGTGGTCAGCACCACCTCAGCTCGAGGTCTCAGACCGCTTGGGGCAGTTGCACAAGCTGTGCCTGGGCAGGATGGGTTCTTCATCCGCCTCACCCTGGCAAGCAACTGCGGACAAGGATGGGCAGAAAATGGCAGAGATGCCGGGGATGGTGGTTGGACAAACGATGTTTCATGTGAGGAGGTTTGTCACTAGCCCAAGCCGTGCTGACATGCGTTGGGTAGCCCAAGATCCAGCTGGAGCAGTGTGGTAAGACACGAAGAACGCCGCTAAGAAGAATCCTGGCAGCCAATGCAGGGGTATTTAGGGCCAGGATTTCTCAACGGTTTTCAAACACGAGTCGCTAAGTTTGCACCCCGCTGCCGCTGCCAGGATGTTGTTTGGCTGCGGGCAGAGAGACAGCTCACTCATGGGCAAGCCAGACACTCACCGGTGCACTTCTTCATTGGCAGACTTTTCGCCCGCATTGGCCAGCCACCGAGCAAATATTGGCAGCGTACGCAATCTTTCGGTGAGCGGAAGAATCCTGGGATGTCGAACCTGGGATCCGCTAGCAGCTAGACATGGTCATGAGAATGCTGTGATTTCATCATGATCTACCCATTCTCAGTCCAAGAGGGTGTTGAATGTGCTTTAATGGTTTTTCAATCTTTGAGCACTGGATCCGTGGGCAAACAAATCCTGTTTGTATAGATGTATATGCGAGAAGTTCTCCCCCGCACTGGGATTCCGGAAGTCTGGGCAAGCTGGACCTTTTGAATATATTACAAATCAGAACCCGAATGCACCAGAAACTCAATCGTTTTACCACAACTTCCACCTGCCCAACGATGCCCCCTCCCGTCCATCAACATTAACATCCAACAGCTTCTAGAAGCTGATCAATATGGATCAGTGGTCAGCTATATACCGTGAGATCTCTGACCTTTGGCCGTGGAGGGCTCCTCCCCCAGTGCGCGTGTTCCCCACTCCGTCTCTTCCGCCGCACGGAGTCCGGAGGCCGGAGCTGGCGTCAAATCGGAGAGTATACAGACCCCCGAAATAGGTAGAACAAGGATGAAACATGGACCATCATGGACCCCTAGCAAACATGTCTTGGAAACCGTGGCCGCTATCCATTTGGGGATTACCCATTGCCCGAAACCAAGTTCGGTGTTTCCGGGTCGCCAGGGATTGAAGGCATGCCGGTGATTGCTTATCTAAGGCAGTCAGTCCTTTTGCAGCTGCTCAGATGCCCTCAGTGTCAATATCGTTGGTGCAAAAAGGTCCGATTGGGATGCCAAGGGCCAAATTTATGTGCGGATGCGGACGTTTTGCCTTTGTACTGTAAGCCGGTGAAAAGCTGGTGATAGCTGGGTTTGCGGGAAGTGCCTCTCCCCAAAAAGACATGACCTGAATGCATGGCAAACAAGTGATTGGGGGAGGATTTGTGATATTTCATTCTGATGTCATTTTAGATCATTTTAGTCTATATGGATGTGAAGGCCAGTCAGTGAACCCGGACCAAGTTAGTGACCTGGGACAGGTCTTTACGCATGTCAATCCGTGTGGTAAAGATCAATCAGATGCTTGGGCAGTTGGTGTTGCTCCATTGCAACGTACATGTTGGTTCTCATGCACCCACAGCTCAGGATTCGATCTGCAGAGATACTGAACGCCGAAGCCGTGTACAGTGCGTTCAAGCTGACCTGTCTCGAGAGTAACGTGGATGAGGGGAAGCTCAGAATGTGCAATGAGCAGGGTTACGCACAACTGTATAGATGGCCCTGGTACACAGGCTGATGCAGCCTCATGCACACACACATATGTATACATATATATTGTGAAGCTCACAAGCTTACCAATCAGATGTCTCGCATGACGACCTTTTGATCGAACCTACCGAAAGGGTGGGTGGGTGGACCGAACATCGTCGACAAAGAGCGAGGCCGCTTGGACAAGAGGACCGGGTTTCCCCAAGGTTAGGATCATTCAACTCCAGGGTGAGATTAACATTGGTAGCGGAGCCTCCGCAAGGAGGCGTAGGCATTTTGGAGGGGTTCTCCAGTGAGTAATTAACCTAGGATAGGTTGCATTTGATCCCAGAATTTTGTTGCACGACATTTTACCTTTCCTTCGACCACTGAGCCATGGCCGGAACGGAAGGAAGTTCGGGAGAAGAAAAGGCCGGACACATCTGGAGTCTTCTTCCGGGTTTTGACCCGTCAGTTGACGACCCGAGGGGGTATGCCGACAAGATTCGTTTCTTGCACTCCATCTGCCCCGTCAAGGACCGTTCTATGCTAGCTCCCAGACTGGCACTTCTGATGAAGGGCACCGCCTGGGCTCAGGTCAAAGCCCTAGATGGTGAAAAGCTCTCGGACCCAAATGGAGGCATCAAGCTCTTGCTGAGTGCGGTGGCCGATTGGGAGGACTCTGCTGAACTCCAGACCTATGAAAAATTCGAGAGGGCTCTGTACAAGGTGACCCAGAAGACAGATGAGTCAGTGTTTTCATACGTGAACCGTATGAATGTTGCCTTTGCTGAGATCAAGAATGTGACCATTCAAGAGATCAAAGCATTCATCATGCTGCGTCAAAGTGGTTTGAATGGAGAAGACAAGAAGCGGGTACTTGCCATGTGTGCCGGGGAGCTCAAGGCCAAGAAAGTGGAAGACTCCATGAGACAACTTGCTCCTCGCATCCTGGTGGGTGCATCCGGTT